AATGGTTAATTTTCAATATATGAGTTGCCAATACCACTAGAGCTAATTAATTTAGCATTTTTGAGTGTTTAAAATGGATTTTTGTCATTTCTTGTTTAAAATGGTGAAAATTGTTTTTTTTTGTTATAGCAGTCCGTCGGGTTTTGGGTTTAAAAGGCTTATTTTCTTATTTGTTTCAAACCCTAAAACTAAACCCTCTCTAGCCATACACCTTTCTTCCTCTCTAAATCCTCCATTTGCTCAAAATCAACAAAAATTTGTCAGAATCTTCGAGCTTTTCAACTTTATATCCTGCTACTATCATTAAATCGCGCAACACAACATCTCATTCTCTTCAATCCGAAATTTTCAAGATATTTTTTCTAAAAAAAAAACTTATAGTTTATCATATTTTGATCTTAGGACTAGTTCTAGGATGAACATTATATCGGACATTGATTGTTTGATGATTTCAAACTAGATTTTACAACCAATTTCATCAAAAACTCACAAATTTTCAAAGAATTTTTTGAATTTTCGAAATTAAAAAAAAATCAAAAATCTAAATTTGATTTCTAAATTTGATGTTTTTGATTTAATTATGTTGTTTTCATGAAAAACTATACATATTATAATTTTCAAATATTATTTTCTAAATATTTTTTCAAAACTATGCCCATTAGGAGTCGGTTTAGAGAACCCTAAATTATTGCAGACTCAATTGAGTTTTGGGATTGATTATATTGCATACACGTGTTTAAATTTGTAGGTTATATATTTTATTCTGATTCTTAAACCATGTCAAATCCTAAATGACCTAAGACATTGTGTAGTCGCTCAAGTCAAAACCAACCTCTTATTCCTCCACCCAATCCAAATAACCCAAATATGTTCATTCTGAACTCTTGTTTCAACGTACCTGGTCGTAGACAAGATCTATATCATAGGTACCATACTTGTTTTGAGTCATACAAAATCCGGGAAGAACGTATCCCTTCGATCCAAGCTATAGAAGATATGGACTTCCAATATCTTCCTACTCTTAAATCCTAGAAGTTTGATAAATTCTTTAAACTCAAACCTTTGGTTTATCATCAATTAGTCCGCATTTTTCTATTCCAATGTGGTATGTGTCCAAAACGAGCTTCGATATGAAATTATAGGAATTCGATCCTATCTTTTAGGATAATTCATTTTTATTGACTCCGGCACAATCGCTACCCATTTTTGACTAGATAACTCAGGTTTAATAAAAAAAGAGATTGTGGATTCACCCATAAGTCTAAGGAAAGTGAGAGTACCCTAAGAACATATCGTGATAGATTCCTTCATTATATGATCTTTTGGTGGTTTAAAGCATCCGGAGGTAGGTACTCCTCCCTTAGGAACATAGATATATGGTGGATATACTGTATCCAATATAAAAAGAAGATTAATATGCCACAGATCATCTTTAGTGAGTTTCTATAAACACTATTCCTTCCAAGAATATAGAAATCTTGGTTTATGGTTGTCTCCTTAGTAATTTGTTTATCAAACTCGGTCTTAGGGTCTCTTCTGATATTCCTATCCCTATTCAAAACCAAATCAATCTTACTTCCTTGAAGAAACCAAGATGGAAAAAGGATAAGGAAATGGGCCAATGGATTTATCATCTCGAACTCAGAACTTTGAATTGTGAAATATTTTGATGTTCAAGGATTTTTTTTTTATTTTGGATGTTTGAATTTGTTGGATAATTGGATATTTGAACTTACATGCTTATATATTTGGTTTGATTTTAACTTTATGTTTATTAAGTTTTGCATCATATTAGTTCATTATGACCAATTATGTCATTTCACATTTGATTATGAATATTGATTATGAAACTAATGGCTAATCTCTCTTTTGATCTTTGATCTTAGCAGCTTAAGCTATATATATATATATATTTAATCAATTGGCTATATTTTTCAAAACCTTGTTTAAATCGGTTTTTAAGTCTTTTTTGATTTAACAAAAAGGGGGGAGAAATGTTAAGTGTTAAAATGTTTTAAGGGGGAGAAATGTTAAGTGTTAAAATGTTTTAAAGGGGGGAAGTGTTAAAGTAAGGGGGAGTAATTTCAAACTTAATTTTCAAAATTTATTTTCAAAGAAAATCTTAAAATTACACACATGTTTTGTTATATAAAAAAGGGGGAGATTGTTGAAAACATTTTGATGTTTCGATATAACAAATTAAGTATAAATGAATTTTAAGATTTTACAAATGATTTTCTAAGTATATTCGATTTAATTACTCGAATATCAAATTATTACTCCAAGTCTTCAAGATCAATTTCAAACCTTACTAAATGTGTAAAATTGTGTTTTAAACTTAATATATTTTTGAAACAATTTTCACAAAGTATTTTTGAACCAAAATCAAGCCTAAAATCAATTTTTCAGAGTGATGCACCGATGCACCAATCCATGCATCGATGCATCATGGAATAAATTGAACATTGAATGCATTTCATGCACCGATGCACATACTATGCATCGATGCACTCAGAGTTTTATGAAAACATCGAATGCATTTGTACATCGATGCATCAGCCATGCATCGATGCACTCTGACTATTTTGAAACATCGAATGCATTTCATGCATCGATGCACTAAGGGTCCAACGTTCAAAATATTTGAATTTTACACTTGATGCACCGATGCACCTAGTGTATGCATCGATGCACTGACGTTCCCAACTGATTTTATTAATTGTTTTCACACTTAAACAGCTATATTGACTCCACTAACCATCCCCAAAGTTCAGAATCATTTGAAGGAGTATTTAAACAAGTTATGAAGCCATTGATCAACAACAAGAAAGAAGAAATCATAGAGAAACAAGAGAGAAAGCATCAAACATCAAGTTTGTGCAATTCAAGCCAAATTTCCTTTTAATATTCATTTAGCTTTCAAGAACACAATTTGTGCTCGATTGTAATTATCTTTGAGTGTTCTTATCTTGTTCTATAATTGTGCAAACATATTGCCTTATGAGGTTTTCCTTGTAAGTTTGCAAATTTGTGTATTTCTCTTTGAAAAAGAGTGTGCTCAAGAATTGGGGTATAATTCTTGAGGGAGTTGTAAGGTTACTCTTTGTCCTCAAAAGAAAGAACAAATTAGTGAATTTGTTGAAAAATCCTTAGTGTGGATAGCTAAGGTAGTGGACGTAGACTTTGGTTGAGAAAGTCGAACAACTCTAAATCGTTGTGCAAATCTTTTCAATTTTCTGCAAAAGCTTCCACCAAAATTTTAATTACCAATTCACCCCCTCTTGGCCAATTTCATCGATCGATTAACTCAACATGGTCACTGAACTTTTCTAAAGCTTTCATTTAGGTCCCCAAACTTTTAAAACTTATAATACAAACCTCTAACATTTAGTTCGTTTACAATATGGTCCCCGACATAACCGGTACATAACCGGTAGTTTGACGACGTTACACTGTCGTTAGTACGTTTGCAATATGGTCACTGAACTTTTCAAGCGCTTGCATTTAGGTATCCTAACTTTTAAAACTTGTAACACAATCCTCAATTTCATTCTAAACCCCAAATTCCTTTTCGATCTCGAATTTCCTTTTTCGTTTCTCTCTTCTCATTTCCAGCGTAACTTTTCAGTCGGGGATGTATGGGAAATTTTAATCTAACTTTGAATTATGTGGAGGTGTTGACTTGAATAAGGGTCCATTGAGAGAAAACCCGAGCAAGGGACTATCGAAACCATCAACGATTCAAGGTGTAATGTTAGATACATGTCATCTCAAGTGAAGCATAGATGTTCGATGAAATGCTTGTGAGAAAATAATGGGGTTAGAAATACAGAGTTGACAAATACCACTAAGATTAACTAAATATCATTTTTTAAAGTAACTAACAAAGCTGGAATTATTTTGTATAAATGGCATATAATAATTTATTCGTTTAATCTTTGTGGTTAAAGATTTTCCAACAGATGATCAAATATAATGAAATCACAAACAACACATTCACCTATCAGTCTCTTTTGCTCACATGCACTCTCGTTTGGTTTTTGCTCCTCAATTTTCCGCCATGTAAAATTGTAAACCCAAGCAGTGCTCTATCTTTTAGCTTTTTATTTACAAAGAAAAAATGAAGGAAGAATACACCGATTGCGTTTATTTCTTAGCCTCTCCCCTCACTTGCAAGAAGGTAATTATTTTCTCTTTTGGGCTATCCGGAAGTAAGCTTTTACTCTTTCGTACTTTCCCATTTTCAGCTCACATTGTGTGTCTGTGTTTTTTTTAAATTTTTATGTTTCTGGAACTGCATGTCAATGATCTGGATATTCAGTGTTAGTTTTGAAACAAAACATCTAATTTTCTTTCTTTCTTAATAAAAACTTTTAATACTCCTTATGAAAAATATTCAGTCGATCAAAATAGAAGTGAAAGAGGGTCTTAGGCTAATTTTTTTTTTTATCTTTTTGTTTGGTTTTTATTTAAATCAGGGAATTGGTTGTGAGTATTGACATAGTGAAATCGTCAGGCTCAATCCGAAAGACTGTTGGTATTAGTTTACTAGGAATTGTATTGATCCGAGATGTAGTTTTCGACGTCCTGTGAGCTCGTATTCTTTTTAATAAGTTAATGTTGATTATGAGACTGATATATCGTAAATGAATTGGATTTTTTTACATGTTTTGGAAATTGAGGATTGTGTTGCAAGTTTTAAAAGTTAGGGGACCTATATGCAAGCGCCTAAAAAGTTTAGTGACCATATTGAAAATGCACTAACGACAGTGTAACGGCGTCAAACGATCGGTTGCGTTAGGGACCATATTGCAAACGGACTAAATGTTGGAGGACTGTATTGCAAGTTTTAAAAGTTGGGGGACCTAAATGAAAGATTTAGAAAAGTTCAGTGACCATTACTATACTTTACCCAAAATAATATTATATAATAATAATAATTATTATTTGTGTTCTTTATTTTTTATTATAATACCAGTTTAAAGACATAATAATATGAAACCCTCAATAGTCAATCCCACCGTTATATTTGTCCGTCAGCACACCACTTACAGCAGAAAGTCGCCGTCGTTATCAGATATTTCAGAGGCCAGTGCCGCGTTCCCAGATTCAATGGAAATCCCACCAGACCAAAATCACCAGTCTCTCCCTTGGTGTATTTCTCTGCTGCTATTAAAATTGAAAGGTCTCTTGGAAAATCATCAGTCTCTCCATCGGTTTATTTTTCTGTATCATCAACACCGTCAAGAAGATCCCTGACCAACATCTCATTTATGTCATACCAGATTTGTTTCTTCCTTATCATTCTCCGCATCACTCTTTCCAGTTTAATTTCATTCACTTCTTCCATTTTTTTTGTTCCATGCTCCCTAAATTTTCTAGCTCATTTTCCTTGTTGTTTCTCGGTTTGGGTGGTGCTTAGAGTTTACTGTTTTCAGTTTTATCATCTGGGGTTTTGGTTGTTTCAACGTTTGAGGATGATTTGTTGCTCTACTGATATTGCTTTGTTTGTACTCTTTTAGCTATATTCGTTTCTGTCTTAGTTGCTTTTTTTTTATGCAACAGTGAATGAGGGGAAAAAGCATTGAAATAAGCTATGGAAAGTCAGAACTAATGCTGCTGTTGATGGATGATGTACTAATGTTGTTTTAGGATCAGTAGTTGTGAGGTTTAGATTTCTTAGATATATCACAGCAAAGATTTTGCCAACTGATGAGGACATTTAAGGTTGTTCAAAGGGTTCTCCAAAGTGCAAAGTATTGTGAAATGAAGCTTAACGGTTCTCTGCATTTTAATGCAATGTTATATCACTGCACTGGTGATTCGAACGAAAAGGTGTTGCCTTATGAATGGTATGAAAAAGCATTTCCAAAGTTGACAAGATTATCCCACTTGTTAAAAAATGTTGATTTAGTTGACGGACGGCTTGTGAATGTGAATGATGATTCAATCATCAGTGATGATCGCATCGAACGTAGAATCAATACTTTCAAGTCGGTTATGAGGGTCTTCATTGGATCCCCATCAGTTCAGCTAATGCTAAAGAAACAAATCTCTGCATTTGACTGTTTCGGTAAACCTAGTGAAAGGGAGCTCATGGTTGTGAATTCATTAACCACGGTGAGCAATGTTTTAAATGTTACTGCTCAACAGAGGAAGCTGGTGCGTCTAGAGATATGTCCACAGGTTACTCAACACAAGATATGGACAGGTGCCCTTGAAAAAATATTGAATGAATTGCAAACAGAGATTGGTTTGTTGAATTGCCAATCCCCAAATAAAGGGACTAAGATGGGTCAGCAGATAGTTTCTAGCTGCCTTAAGTTCTTGGATGAATCAGCCGGTTCTTATGGCCCTTATTCTGCTTCATGGATTAGGCTTTTGCCTGCAAAAGTTGTCGACTCTCCACATAAATGGGAGGATGTTTTTGAGATGTTTAATGATCTCATTAATTGTTTAAAGAGTGAAAAGGATTGTCTTTATCATTTGAAAAAGATTGAGGTAATGAAAGAAGGTGTCTCTCAGATTAGGGATGTGTTAGTTGATAATAGTATTGGGTATAAGGATGCTAGGTACCAAGAAAGCCTAGTACAGAAGAAGTTGAGTAATACATTGGGACACTCATCACAGTGCTTCTTCACACTTTTATCGTATTACCTCTATGGGCAGGTTAGAGATCTTGAAGTGGATTTATGTGGAGCTATTTACGGGAATAGTTCCGAGAATAAGCTTACCTTGTGCATGGGAAGAATTCTAACTTCAAACGAGGAGAAGATGGTTTGGAGTGGGGTTAAGCAATTGGAAAGGGCTCTGGGTTTATTTAAGTTTGTATGGGAAACAGCAGGTATGAAAGGCATTATGGAGTTGCAAGGCCACTTGTGGTGTGTAGGGCATGAGGAGAGGTCGATTACGTATCGAGGAAACACCTTCTTTCTACATGGGATTAGTTTTGGTCCAAAGAGTACCTCATCAAAACCTCTACGATGTTAAGGCAGCTGCGATGATATTGATAAGCAATTGCATATCTTTGTTTTTTTTAGAAGATTAAGTGTGTGCAACAGCATTGATAATTGGCACGTACTTCACATTACTCAATATTTGGTGACTTTAAGAAACTCGCCTCCAAACAACCTAAATATTTTGGCCGATGCCGAAAAGGTGATTAAAAGAGGATCGATGAGAACAATGAAAGTGTTAGAAGCATTAGAGTTGGTGACGAAAAGAAGGAAAATGAAAACAGAAACCAGTTGAAACATGGCTTTCCTATTGACTAATTTAGTGGACCATGAGAGTTCTGTAGAAAGTCATTTTTTTGATGAGGAATTGGCTGGTACTGGGCACAAAAAACGTGGATTGCAGCAGCAATGTGTAATGAAAACGATGGAAGAAGCGACGTCTTTTATCGGGGAGTTGGTTTTCGGCATAGTGGCGCCATGATTGCAAGCCTGCAGGGCAGCAATGAAAGAGAGAGATGAACTGTCGTAGGAAGTTTCTTGGGACATCGATATACTTGTGTAAGTGTTTACGTTTGTTTGCTAGTACTAAACTCTAAACACTTATATTCCGGTGTACTTGTCACTTTTAAGTATAGAGATATGATCATGGGTCGGGTCCATTTTTAGCATACACAACTTACAACACTCGACTGACCTCGACCCACCCCATTAGCATTAAATTTCAAAGCATTACTAGGCGGCAAAAACGTTAAATTTAATTTTTTTATTTATTTCAATAGTGAGAAATTAAAAATAATTAATTATATTGTTAATGTTTTCTGTCAATTTACATAACTTTAATTAACATAATAATAAATTTAGCTTCAAAATTATATAAAAGTATAAATTACATGTTGAAATTTTTAAAATCAGTGTGAATTAATACAATATATAAACGCTCAAGGTCAAATTTATTATTATTGACAATCGAAGTAATATAAAACTGATGGAAAAGCACAAAAACAATGATCGATTTTCCTTAATTTATTATTTTCGAAATTGTCAGGGGATTAAATTGGTCATCTCTTTTCATGAGGATCAATTTATCTAATTTTAAAATCCAAAGGACCTAAGAGGTATTTTCATCAAACAAACCATGCATACCCAATGGAGCGGATTAGGAATTAATGTTAGGCCCAGAAAATTAAAAAGGGCCGAGGAGGAGATGTTTGTTTGTTGTGTTTCCCGCTCGGATTTTGAATGCCCGCCTCTGTCCCCCTCTGCCTACGTCTCGCTGCCAAACCCTCGATTTTAGACGGTAAAATTTATAAACTAATAATCATAAAAACCAATTTTCAACATTATAATCATAATCAAAATCTGGAGGTTAAAAAGAAAAGAGAAAGAAGAAATGCAGGAACCAGCTTTGATTAGGGTTTCAAATCATGGATTCTCCTAAACCCTCTAAACCCCTAATTTCCTCTTCTTCTGCTTCAGCATCCACTTTATCTTCTTCTCCAGTTCAAGTAATTTGTTTTGCCTTTTTTTAAAATAATGGATGTAGTTTATTTTACTTATCATTTCATGTATTTTGAGATCTTTGAAGTTCCTCTCTTACATCTTCTTCTGGTTTTGATTTTTTTAAAATGTTTTTTGCTTACTGGTTTAGGTTTTAGATTTGTGTTTGGGGAGGTTTGTTTTAGTTACTGATTGTGGTTAAATGTGTTGTTGAAGTGTGAAATTTTAATTTTGTTGGCAGAATTTTGATCGGTTGTGTGTTTGACTAGAATTCCACTGATTTAATGGGTATTTGTCAGTATTTCCCCCCAAATATATCATTTAGAGGTATTGGGAGGTTTGGTTCTATGAATCGTGGGGGAACTAAATTTTTTGCAAGGACTTTATTATTCTTTAAATTGATGATGTTTTATATTTGGAGTAGATTTATATTTGTCTTTATTGATGCTTTTCCGTCACTGGAGGTGTCTGAAAGAAGAAAGTTTCTTTGATGAGTAAATGCTGCTTTAATTTTTAACATTTTGTGGTTCTAGGTTTTGCATAAGGTGACAATGTCGTGTTTTGTTTTGTTTCGGGTTCGTTATTTGTTTAGTTAACGAAGCCATCTTCAGAACTGATTTTCTTTAAGATCCAGTACTTTGCAACTGCACCTCACTTTACCTTTCTCTCCGAGTTCTTGTTGTGATAACTGCATTGCTTTTAGGAAAGGATGGATGCCATTCCCCTTTATCATGAATTTTTAGACTTCTTATTTTTCATTTTCCACTTTGATTTCAGGAGTCCCCTTTTCGAATTATATTAGCAATCTGTCTCCTATAAAACATGACAAAGCACCTCATGTAGCACCAGGGTTTCTTGGACTCAATTCTCCCCCTCCTGTGTTTACATCTCCTCGTATAAACACACTTGGAAGGTTTGCCTACCTTTGTATTTTGGCTTTAGCATTTTCCATTTAGCGTGCTTCCTTCTTGAGTTCTGATTACATGAAACCTTATTTCCAGGCCTATGCCATCCAGGGTGGAAGTATCTCAAAATGGGGAAAGAGACAAGAAAAGAACTGACGAGTCTTGTATTTTAGAAAGATCTGTTACTGAATTGCAAGAAGGGTTGGTCATTGATATTAAGAAGGAAGATGATAACAAGAACAATGTGTCAGTCCAACCCAGTAGCTCCTCTGGATGTGTTGATGAATACTTGGCTGACCCTGTGGAAGCAGACTGTGTGAACTCTGCATATGCGATCAATTCAAATGTGAAACAATCTAATAATGTGCTTCAATCATCAGTTAATGGTTTAGCGGACTCAAAGAATATTAAATTTGGTAACAAAAATAATGTGGTGAGGGAGGCTGAGGCAGCACTATTATTGTCTGGGCAGAGTAAAGAAAGCACTGAAAGAAAGTTAACCTGTGATGAAAAATCATTGAAGGTTGCAAATGAGCAAGGTGCTGTTCAAGGATTATCTGATGAATTCCAAAAGGTTGAGTCTGATTCATTTGATCTTTCCCATGAGGAAAAAGAGTGTAAAAACTTGGGTCCTCAGGTAAAAGTTGTTCTATCTTCCCCCATCCAATTGGGATTTGGGAAATAGTACCATGTATATTAGGGATAGAATAATGTCTCTGTCTTTTTTTTTTGGAAGAAAGTAGTAGAGGACTGTAGTGATGGATGCAATGGTTTCCTTCAACAGCTGCCTGGATCACTACAGGGGGTTCAGTCGTATGAAGATTTTGCTGAAAATGTTGGTGGGGATGTAGATGTTCCAGTGCATAGCATGACACATGATCTTGAGGTATAAAAGGATTTGAAGTAACCATGATATATTAGATTACTGGATTCTTATTGCTCTTTAAACTTTTTTTCCTTTTACTTTTTGGTTATTAAATGCTGCTAGATTTTCCTTTTGCTATAGAATAATTTCAACAGTTAATGTTAGGCTAGTGAGCTCCAACGCAGCATGAGTAGGCGCTGCCTTCAATTTGGTGAAGCTCAACCAGAAGCTAGAACAGACTGCAACATTTCTACAAATCTAGCAAATAATATTAGTTCTTCAACTTCAGAAATTGAGGGTTTGGGTTCATTTCATTTTGATTTAAGTGTCACATCTAGAACAAAGCAACTGGTTAACTTGTCCCAGGTAGCAATAAACATGATTCCCCAGTGTTATGGTGAAAAGTCTTCCTTAACTGTTCCCAAGCCATCAGGTTTTGGCTTACACCTAAACAGTATTGTTAATGCTATACCAATGGCTCAAGGTGGAAGTGCAAGCATGAAACTGGCACAGGCTATAAGATCAACATGTCAGTCAACTGAAAACATGGACAACTGCTCCAATGCATTTGAAAAAGTATCAACTCCTCCTCGAGATGGAACACTTGAAGTGAAAGTTTGTACAATTGCAGATTCGGCTGTTTCAGAATCACTGAGTGCCGTGGAATTAATCGAACGTAACATGACTCTAAATACAAAGCGGAAAGTTAGCTCAGAGGATAGAGATAGTGATGAAGTGTTTGACCAACAAAGCCCCAAAGTGAAAAGGCAAGTTTTTCTGATACTTCTTGTTGATTCACGGTTATAACTTTCTCTTAATAATTAGGGACATTAATAGTTTATGCTTTTGTAGGAAAAAACTATCAAACAACACAGATGGTGAGGGTTGCAAGCGTTGCAATTGCAAAAAGACCAAATGCTTGAAACTGTAAGTGAATTTTGTTTTACTTGGTTGAAGTCTAGTTATATGTGTACAATAGCTCTATTGGCATAATATGTTCTAATTTTCTCCTTCTCAGCTATTGTGATTGTTTTGCCGCTGGAATCTATTGTGCTGGACCTTGTTCTTGCCAAGTTTGCTTCAACAGACCTGAATATGAAGACACAGTTCTTGAAACACGTAAACAAATTGAATCACGCAATCCACTAGCATTTTCTCCCAAGATTGTGAAACCATTCACCGAGTTCCCTCTAAGCAACAGGGTATAATACCATTCCTGAAGCCCAAAGCCTTTTGCTTTACTTTTATTTTCCCTACTAGTAATTTCACAATCATATTTCCCTTAATAGGAAGATGGAAACAGGAAAACACCATCCTCAGCACGACACAAACGGGGGTGCAATTGCAAAAGGTCAATGTGTCTGAAAAAATATTGTGAATGCTACCAGGTCTGGGAATACATTGCTGCCTGAATCATCTTCATGCTTTCTATGTAATCTCTTTTAATATATTGTTGTTGGACTCATGAATCTTCTTTTTATATTGAAAAGGCTAATGTTGGTTGCTCTATTGGATGTCGATGTGAGGGGTGTAGAAATGTTTATGGCAAGAAGGAAGGTGAGTTTCAAGAAATATTATCATGAATTTTGTCTTCCTGTGCATTGTAGTCATCATCTGCAATACTACAAATTAGAGAAATATGCTCTCTCCTCTCAACATCGTTTAGGGTTCACTTTTGCCTGAAATTAATACCTTTTGGTAACTAAGAATTGAGAATCAATATGCTCCTTAATCCTTATTGCTGAATTTCTAGATTGTTGTGTTACTGAAGAAATGATCGACAGAAGTGGTGGAGAGAGGTTGGAAAGTAGAGTGATTGTTAAACCTAAGAAGGATTTCTTGCATTCTGAATTGTGTGATCCACACCGTCTTACACCTTTGACACCTTCATTCCAGTGCTCAGAGTAAGATTTACGATTATGATGTCCTAGTTTCTTGAAGAAAAAGCTAAATAATACCAATTCAACTTCTTTATTGCTTATTACTTACATTTTTTTCAGCCATGGAAAGAAAGCATCCATATCCAGACTTCTTTCTAGGAGATGCCTTCCTTCCCCTGAGTCTGATCTTACCATCTTATCTTATGCAAAATCTCCAAGATCTCCTAGAAATTCTGATAGCAATGACATGTTTCTGGAAACAAATAAAGAAAAATTGGATAGTGAATCTTATTGTGAGGGAATCAGCTACAACAATGCAGTTGTGCTTGCTGATGAATTCCATCACACTCCATTGCCCAATCATCCCTCGATTGTAATTGGCTCATCGTCATCCAAAGCAAGGGAATTGACAAACCTTTCACGATTACAATTGGACCCTAGAAGTGGTTCTTTCACTTCAGGGGGTTCCCTTTGT